GTATTCCAGTGCAACGCTGACAACACTCTTGTCGCGAAAGATACTGCAGACTGGCCTGACAACACAGATGCCATCGACCGGGCGGTAAGCGCGACGATGAGACCCGACGTCTGTATTTACAGCACTGATGACGACCATGCCGCGCCATACACTCTCACTGCTCAAGAGCTTGCGGGGCGCAAGTACTCGGAAGAGCGCAAGCAGAAATTGGCTCGAACTCGCTGGGGGTCAATGGTCGTTCCTATTGAGCTCAAGTCAGACATTTCCAGGGCACCGTTTCATTTTGGGAACAGCCGCACGGAGGAGACGGAGAAGAAGATAAAGGCACGAGGGCAGATCGCCGACTATGCTACGAGGATCATGCAACGCCAGCACCGGCTGTTCTTATTCATGATTGTCATCTGCAAGCGTGAGGCGCGGTTCCTGCGTTGGGATCGATCTGGTGCGATTGTCACAGATGCATTCGATTTCGTGAAGAACCCGGAACCGCTGCACACGTTCTTCTACCGTCTCAGCAAGATGACTCGCGAACAGCACGGGTACGATCCAACTGTGGTGCCGGCTGATGCAGATGAGATCGCGCTGATGGAATCGTACAAAGACAAGCTCCCCCAGGACGACTACCTCCGCAAGTGTCTCAATGATGCTATGGAGCGCGGCTGGCCTATCCAAAAGGTGATGATGCGTCAAGAGGATGTGGTCTCTGTAGAATCCTGGCGCGCCGCTGCGAACAAGGCGGACTCGACTGGCTCAACTCCCCCGGACACTTCTCAAGCCTCCTCTGCCTGTGGTGAATCGTCGCCTGGATCTTCCTCCGACGCGGGTGTGTCTGATCCAGGTCCACACGTCTCAAAAGACGCCTGTTTAGCAAGTGCATCTCCGCCACGGTGTTTCCTGGTTGGCAAGCCATGCGCAACCAGTGATTCACCGACGGGGCGTGGGACGAACGGATACGTCGCATACGACCTGGCGACAGGCCGCCTTGTGTTCTTGAAGGGTGCGTGGCGCGCAAGGACCGCCAACTCTGAGATCAAGGTGTACGAAGACCTGTGGAAAGCTGGTGTACGATGCATTGCGACACCCATCTGTGGTGGCGATGTGGTCGGGAGTGATGGTGAAGTGCAGCAAACGGTGACTCAAAAGTATTTGACCGACATGCCCGTCCGTATCCATTGCCGCCTAGTCGTGGAAGAGATAGGCCGCCCCCTCGAAGATTATAGAGGTGGTGATGAGCTCGTGGGAGCCCTCTTTTGTGCTCTGATTGGTAGGTGTTTTCTGTTGACCTTGATACCGAACAAGCTGCTTATTCTTCTATTGTAGCCCACCAAGACGCATGGGAAAAGGCTCGCGTTTTACACCGGGATGTTAGCGCAAAGAATGTCTTGCTCTACATCAATTCGAAGACGCAACTTGACGGCTCGATCGCGACTGCATTCCTCAACGACTGGGACCTGTGCAGATATGAAAAGGAACTGGGGTCTGCTACCCAATATGGTCGCTCGGTACGTGCAGTAACTGGTATGTCTGCATATCTGGATGTTGACCGACGGATCACAGGGCACATGGCAATTTATGTCTGCATTGCTTCTCAAATTCCCAGGTCTGACTCCTCACGGTGTTTCTGATGATCTCGAATCGTTTGTGCACGTCCTCAACTGGTTCTGTCTTCGCTTTCATCGCCACGACCATCGCACGGTCGCGCTCCAACGACTAGTGGCGTCGCTCTATGACGTGAGCGAAAAAGACGAAACAAGCAAGGAAGCCTTCGGTGGCGCTGCAAAGTTGATTCTTATGCAATCCGGAAAACCTGCGGTCCGTCTTGCTCGCCACGGACCATTGAAGACCCTGCTTGAACAACTCTCAGCCTTGTGCGAAGAGCACTACTCTGGGATCGACATCGAGGCACTGGAAGCTAATCCAAGTGATACACCTGCGGCAAAAGTAGCCAAACCGACACCAACAGTGGCCTTTCCTGAATGGAATACTCGGTTGCGGCCCAATGCCCAAGCACATGTACCGCCTAGCAAGAAAGATGCTGCTCAGAAAGTAGGGGCGAAGGTGCTCTCTACGCACAAAGCGGTCATGGAAGCATTCGCCGATGCAATCTTCGGCGGCGCTGTCTGGGCTGATGACAAGACGAACGATCAATTCGCTAACTTCAAGATCGGGACTACCAAGGGCCAGTCCACCCTCTCAACCGGGACAAGCTCGCATTCTGGCTCGAAACGGAAACCAGAGGAATCAGAAGACATCGCAGAAACTTC